ACAAACGAAAAAAATAAATTAAAAATTTAAAAACAAAAAATAAAATGTGTTAAATTAACGTTCAATTTAATGCATGCCGTGAATTCATAACTAACATTATGTACAATGACGACCGTTGTACGATAACATAATTAGGGATGTTTGACCGGGATAATGAAATCTATCTATATCTTTTGAAAGTGGTATTGAATTTTAAGAATTGGTTAAACTAAATGCTACACTACTGTTGGATATTCGGTCAACACATATTGTATATCAAACTTACATATTGATAATACATGTAGTAACTTTAACATATAAGATAGCACACATACGAGGTTTCAAACATAGTGTCTCCATTCCATAGTTCCAATTCCGTTGGATGTCCTGTATTTACAACAGATAGACCTATGCCTCTCGGAAGTATCTTCAATCCATAGGTTTCTCTCAGTTCTTGAAAGACACCAACACTTTCAAGAAAACTTCGAGAATCTTCAGGTACCATGAGATAAAAGCTGCCGGCAGCGTTTGTGCTAAGATCAGTAATGAAACAAAACTGGCTATCCTTTAGCAGTTGACCCAGTTCAATATATTGGCTAAAAATTCGTAGCCGGAAAGATGTGTCTAGTCTGAAAACATTGTAAAGATGCTTATCTTGAACAGGAACACCATCACACCATTCGTTATCTTTAATTTCATCACCGTAAACAATGTCACTTCTGACATTATCAATACTAAGACTAGATTCATCTGACGCGTAAAATTCGATCCAATTCGGTAATGAATTGCTTAAAGCGAGCAGATACGTTTTCAAAAATGATCCAGAGGTGTGGAAATCAAATATATCCTGGTCAGTCAAATCTATCATTTCACAATCTTTGTAAGATTCATCGCTGTCCAATATATTCGAATTATCGGTTTCTTCGCTAGGACTAAAGCTAAATTTACAGTCTGCTTCTGATATTGTAACCTGAAGACCAGTAAGAGAAATTGGTAACGACATCGAGCTGAGTTCAGCAAATGTAATACCAAAGGTATAAAAGATTGATGGCTGCTCTGTCAATTTATACCATTCAGATGTAGATTTTATAGTAACGCCATTGTCTTTTCCATCTATACATTGATCAATCAGCAACGAAAAGCATCCTTCAGGGAGCAATTTGCCAATGATTTGTAAACGATCAAACACAGACACTTGGGTATCATCTATAACATAAAGGACACACATTACACACACAATTATGCATTTATTTGTTCGAATATTGTTTCTTCATTATGTGAAAATAGTGATTGGACTGATTGAACAACCGATGTTATATTTTCAAAGGAGTTATGCACTTACTAATGAAAATATAACAGTTTGTGTGCGTGATGTGTTAAAAGGTGTTCACTATTTGATCATACATGTCATGATTTTATTGTAATAAATATATATTGACATTTATTTTTGGCGAATAATGTCACGCCTTCTTTCATCATGTAATCATACTACGACGACGCAATGTTCGGGCTTAAAAACAGCTTGATTATATCTGTAAATTAGTACTATAATTAGACAATGTTAATAGCAAATAAAAATTGTTCTAGAACAAAGCACTATTATTCATCATATAAATGTTCATCAATACCAAATCATTACTTAAAACTCTATCAAAGTTTCTTTTCAAAGATATTTTATATGAATTACTAAATTGTACATTGCCATTGTTTTTATCAATACAATGTATTTGACATTCTTATGAAAAATATGCACATTGTACACCAATCCATTTTAAGATAATTTCAATTTCTTTTCATGTATGCAAACTTATTTTACACAACATGTTCCTATAAGACTGATTGCATTAGGTAGGTTTTTATTATATATTTTATGTTATTGATTTTTTTATTCAAACAAATTGTAATTCTGGTATACATTACGAGTGGTTTTTTATCATACCTATTTGACACGTGACTCCATCATCAAGTAATTTTTTACCATCATAACAGCTGCATTCAAAACCTCCCTCAGTATTGGTACACGATTCTTGACAGCCTCCATTTAGTGTTACGCATTCGTCTATATCTTAAAACACATTATTTTTATTATTATCATTATCATTGTAAGTATCAGTAGTAGTTTTTACTTTTGTCTAGGGTTACCATTTCTCAATTAAAATAAATCAGTCACAGCGCGGCTATGAAAATATTTCGGATGTTTTTAATTGAAACGTATATGCAGTTTATTGTGAAGCCACTTTAAATGTCGTTACATATGACATTCGAATATCTGTGTAGTTACCGGTTCATAACATTGTCGGTACATCGGAAAGGCCATATGTTTTTCTGTTCAGAATAAGAAAGGAAAAAAAATCCAGTGTTCTTTTAGCCGAAATGCCTAGAATAATGAAATAGATAGCCAGCTAAAACAATGATGGTAATAACATTTATATTAAACTGTACATACAGCGTATTGTAATAAAATGTAATAAACCTACCTGATATCAAACAACCCTCTTGCATTATTCATACAACATTTGTTAAACATTACATACAAACTGTTGAGGATGACGTTTAAACTATTAATGTATTATTTCATTTTGTTCAAAGCGTACCTACCATTACATGATGACTTGTCTGCTCCAAGCTGAAAACCTGTGTGACAGTGACAGATAAAGGAACCATCTATATTCTCACAACTATGCATGCATCCGGATAAACCATCTTCGCACTCGTCAATATCTGGAATATATAATGATACCAACGCAACACATGATGTTAATTATGAAACCGAACATACAATCGAAATGAAACACTTTAAATGCTTTTTAAAGACATTCAAACTATATCGAAATGCTTTTCAACTATCAGTTTCGCTTTTGTAAGACGTCTTCGATGCTACTTGAAGATAGTGTTTGAATACTAAGTCTTCTGTCGCCAATGAAAAAAAAAACACACAACTTTTTTATCCAAGTTTACTTTATTTCAATTAAGTATGTGTAGTTTTTTATGTTTAAGTTAATGAATTTTTTGTTTAAGAATGAGAAAAAAATCTCTACCGGAGCAAGTATGTGCGTCCGCGTCTAGAGTGAATCCATCTCTACATGTGCAATGATAAGATCCTTGTTCGTTTGCACAAATGTGAGAGCATCCTCCATTATTTTCAGAGCATTCGTCCATGTCTTACAAAAGAATTTCATAAAAATGAAAGATATCCAAGATACATTCTAAATGATACAAATATAATAATTAACTTTCGCAAACCAAACCAGTAAATGTAGTTTACTTATTATATCTTGATATTTTTTGCTTTGCTTATTACCCCTTATATGTATCCAATGCACGTATATTTATAACTTAAAAAAACATTGCCATTGTTTTATCAATATTTGAAATACCTAATATGCACATTGTAGACTAATCCATTTCAAAATAACGTCTCTATTATCTTTTAAAGATATGTAATAATTTATGTTTCTCTTTATACATGTAAAATAATTTTATGCAACCTGTATCTCTAATAAAACAGATTAACATTAGCCGGGGCTCGGGGCGTTAGGGATATTGCACTTATTCATTATCCCTCATGTACAGAATCAAACCGAGTCTGTAATTCTCTTGTAATTTTGTTGTGATTAATGCTTCCGAGGGATCACTTTGTTTCCAGATTTTTAGTGTTATAACATGGAAGCCAACTATTTCAAATTGTCAAAACTTCTATACCAATATCTTTTGATAGAAAAACAAATAGCTGATTAAAGGATTATTGTACTGCCTTTTCCAATCATTTATCAACAAATATGACACTTCAACTTCATAAAGTTAGGTTTTTAACCCAATACTGCATCAGCATTTTGTGAAAAACCTCTATTGTAATAGAAATGTCTCCCGTTACAAGTTCAAATTGCTATAAAACTATGTAAACTGCTTCAATACTAATCAAACTTGGCACAAATATTTACTGGACCATTCCCTTTGTAACAACATACTCGGTCTTAAATTTCCTGTTACCATGGCAACGAGGGGACATCTCAAAATTGCCAAAATCAATATTTTGCGTTATTTTTTTTTTCTCATCGAAATTGATTTCAAAGTGCTGCAACTTCTCAATGGATTGAAATAGAGTCAAAGACTTTTCAGCGTCGGTTACTAGTTACCGTATGATCGGCCTGGGGTCATTTTTAGCCTTTCACAAGTCCAAACTTTTCTTGGCGATGAAAGGGCTGCTGCCCCCTTCAAACCCCCAAAGAGAAGGGGCATATCCCCCTTCTGGTCACTTTTTTAAACAACATTTCTCAAACAAAAACAAGTGTTGGGGGCCTAAATAAGGCATTTTTCACCATTTGAGACACCAAAAGGAGGGTGAAAAAGCCGTTAAAAAGCGTCTATATCCGGTAATGGGATAATATGTTTTTTTATTTCATTTTTGACTTAAACAAATTGTAATTATAGTATACATTACGAGCGGTTTTATTATTATACCTATTTTGCACGTGACTCCATCATCATGTAATTCTTTACCATCATAGCAGCTGCATTCAAAACTTCCCTCAGTATTGGTACACGATTCTTGACAGCCTCCATTTAGTGTAAGGCATTCGTCTATATCTTAAAACATTTTATTATCATTATTGTTATTATTATCATTATCATTAGTAGAAGTAGATTTTACTTTTGTCCTTTGTTACCATTACTCAATTAAATTTCCTGTGTTACTATTACTCAATTAAAATAAAACAGTCACTGTGTGACAACGCAGCTTCCTGTGAAAATATTTCGGATGTTTTTAATTGAAACGTACATTCAGATTATTGTATGTCTCTTTTGTAAGCCACTTTCAATGTTAATTGCATATGACATTCGAATATCTGTGTAGTTACTGGTTTATAACTTTGTCGGTTCATGGAAAAAGTCATATGTTTTTCTGTTCAGATTAAGACTTGAAAAAAAAAATAAGATATTGCCAGTGTTACTTTTTTAGACGCATAAGATAAATGCTCAGGTAAAGCAAAATGATGGTGATAACATGACTTTTAAACTTTTAAGCTTTGCAAAAAATCAAACAAACTATTTTATCCAAGTTTATTTTATTTCAATTTAGTATGTGTAGTGATTTGTGTTTAAGTTAATAAAGTTAATGTTTAAAAGTGAGAAAAAAATCTATACCGAAGCAAGTATGTGCGTCCGCGTCCAAAATGAATCCATCTCTACATGTGCAATGATAAGATCCTTGTTGTTTTACACAAACGTGAGAGCATCCTCCGTTACTATCAGAACAATCGTCCATGTCTTGCAAAGACATTTCATAAAATGGAAGGTTATTCAAATTACATTCTAAATGATACAAATGTAATAATTAACTTTCAAAAAACAAACAAATAAATGTAGTAAACTTATCATAATCTTTGATATTATTTGCTTTGCTTATTACCCATTATATGTATCCGATGTACGTATATGTATAATTTTAAAAAAACATTGCCATTGTTTTATCATTATGTTTGAAAAACATAATATGCACGTTGTAGACCAATCCATTTTAAAAAATAACGTTTTTATCAACTTTTAAAGATATATAATAATTTCTCTTTCTCTTAATATATGTAAAATAATTTTATACAACATGTACCCATAACACTGATTACTTAGGGTTATAACACGAAAGCCAAACATTTCAAAAAGTCAAAACTTCTATACCAATATCTTCAGATAAAAAACAAATAGCTGATTAATGAAGTATTTTAGTGTCTTTTAAAATAATTTAACAATAAATATGACACTTTAAATTTATAAAGGTAGGTTTTTAATATGCCGTTTTATTTCATTTTGGACTCAAACAAATTGTAATTTTGGTATACATTACGAGTGGGTTTTTTTTCATACCTATTTTACACGTGACTCCATCATCAAGTAATTCTTTACCATCATAGCAGCTGCATTCAAAACCTCCCTCAGTATTGGTACACGATTCTTGACAGCCTCCATTTAGTGTTACGCATTCGTCTATATCTTAAAACACATTATTATCACAATTGTTGTTATTATAAATAAGAACTAGTAGTAGTTTTTACTTATGTTAATTAAGTATATGTAGTGATTAATGTTTAAGGTAATGGAGTTTAAGTTTAAAAGTGAAAAAAACTCTACCTGAGCAAGTATGTCCATCCGCGTCTAGGGTGAAGCCATCTCTACATGTGCAATGATATGACCCTGGTTCGTTTGTACAAATGTGAGCGCATCCTCCATTATTATCAGAACATTCGTTGATGTCTTGAAAAGAATTTTATAAAATGTAAGGTTATTCAAGGTACATTCTAAATGATTTACAAATGTTATAATTTACATTCAACAAAACAAGCCAATAAATGTTTAGTTATTATATCTTTGATATTATTAGTTTAGCTTATTTCCCCTTATATGTACTAAACTTATGTATATGTACGTATAACATGAAACATTTTAAAATGCAAATACCATATTTTATAGGATTCATTACATACACTTACCGTCACAATGTTGATCATCGTTGTTGATTATAAAACCATTGTCACAGCTGCATGCATACGAACCTAGAGTATTTTCACATCTTACTTCACAGCTGCCATTTTCTTCCAAACATTCATCTACATCTATACAATATAATGAGAAAAACTTATGTCTCTGTATACCTGTACTTGAATGCAGCTTTTTATGATAAAGATAGTTATATTATAAAAAGTTTTAGTTAAATTAAACTTAAATAATTATGATCTTGTATTATACCATATATTTTCTGTATTTTCTATAACCTATTTTCTATAGTACCTTGCTTTATAAAAACAGAGCTAATGTTAATTACTGTTTTTATAACTGCTCGATTTACATTTATTTTCTTTAGGGCCACTGGAACGAAATTTGTAAGACTATATGCACTTATATGCACGAACATTTGAATATGTAAAAAAGTTTTGTTTTATTTCATAACATGGTCACGTGAATGTTTAATGACATAACATGATCACATGAAAATCATTTTGTCTGACGCTTTCAATGTTCTCTGCAATCATCAAAATTGTTTTGAGGAAACCAATTCTGTTAAACCAAAAACAAACAAAAAAATTCTTAGACGCTTTAAATGCTCTACAAAGGTATTCAAATTAAATCGAAGAAATTCATCATGTTTTGCTTCAAAACTGTCAGTTTCGCTTTTGTAAAACATATTTGAAGCTTCTTGCAGATAACATTTTTATACTTCTATCGCTACCGGCTTTTAACAATCAAACAAACTATCTTATCCAAGTTTAATTTATCAATACAGTGCAAGTATGTGTTGTAAACATGTTCGAGTAATATCAAATTTATGTTTAAAAGTGAAAAAAACTCTACCGGAGCAAGTATGCCCATCCGCGTCTAGGGTGAATCCATCTCTACATGTGCAATGATAAGATTCTGGTTCGTTTGTACAAATGTGAGAACATCCTCCATTATTATCAGAGCATTCGTCCATGTCTTGCAAAGACATTTCATAAAATGTAAGGTTATTCAAGGTACATTCTAAATGATTTACAAATGTAATAATTTACATTCACCAAAAAAAGCCAATAGATGTTTAGTTATTATATTTTTGATATATTTCCCCTTATATGTATCAATGTATGTACATTTATAACATGGAAAATTTTAAAAAGCAAATACAATATTTTATAGGATTCATTACATACACTTACCGTCACAATGTTGATCATCGTTGTTGATTATAAAACCATTGTCACAGCTGCATGCATACGAACCTAGAGTATTTTCACATCTTACTTCACAGCTACCATTTTCTTCCAAACATTCATCTACATCTATACAATATAATGAGAAAAACTTATGTCTCTGTATACCTGTACTTGAATGCAGCTTTTTATGATAAAGATAGTTATATTATAAAAAAGTTTTAGTTAAATTAAACTTAAATATGATGTTGTTTTATACCATATATTTTCTGTATTTTCTGTAACCTAGTCTATAGTATCATGCTTAATAGAAACAGGGCCAATATTAATTACTGTTTTATAACTGCTTGATTTACATTTATTTTCTTTAGGGCCACTGGAACGAAATTTGTAAGACTATATGCACGAACATTTGAATATGTAAAAAAGTTTTGTTTTATTTCGTGAAAATCATTTTTACCTCACGCTTTCAATGCTCTCTGCAATTATCAAAAATGTTTTGAGGAAACTAATTGTGTTTAACCAAAAACAAACAAAAAATTCTTAGACGCTTTAAATGCTCTACAAAGGTATTCAAATTAAATCGAAGAAATTCACCATGTTTTGCTTCAAAACTGTCAGTTTCGCTTTTGTAAAACGTGTTTGAAGCTTCTTGCAGATAACATTTTTATACTTCTATCGCTACCGGCTTTTAACAATCAAAACCAAACTATCTTATCCAAGTTTAATTTATCAATACAGTGCAAGTATGTTGTAAACATGTTCGAGTAATATCAAATTTATGTTTAAAAGTGAAAAAAACTCTACCGGAGCAAGTATGCCCATCCGCGTCTAGGGTGAATCCATCTCTACATGTGCAATGATAAGATTCTGGTTCGTTTGTACAAATGTGAGAACATCCTCCATTATTATCAGAGCATTCGTCCCATGTCTTGCAAAGACATTTCATAAAATGTAAGGTTATTCAAGGTACATTCTAAATGATTTACAAATGTAATAATTTACATTCACCAAAAAAAAGCCAATAAATGTTTAGTTATTATATTTTTTGATATATTCCCCTTATATGTATCAATGTATGTACATTTATAACATGGAAAATTTTAAAACGCAAATACAATATTTTATAGGATTCATTACATACACTTACCGTCACAATGTTGATCATCGTTGTTGATTATAAAACCATTGTCACAGCTGCATACATACGAACCTGGAGTATTTTCACATCTTACTTCACAGCTACCATTTTCTTCCAAACATTCATCTACATCTATACAATATAATGAGAAAAACTTATGTCTCTGTATACCTGTACTTGAATGCAGCTTTTTATGATCATAAAAAGTTTCGGTTAAAATTTAACTGAAATATGATGTTGTTTTATACCATATATTTTCTGTATTTTCTGTAACCTAGTCTATAGTATCATGCTTAATAGAAACAGGGCCAATATTAATTACTGTTTTATAACTGCTTGATTTACATTTATTTACTTTAGGGCCACTGGAACGAAATTTGTAAGACTATATGTACTTATATGCACGAACATTTGAATATGTAAAAAAGTTTTGTTTTATTTCATAACATGGTCACGTGAATGTTTTATTTCTTAACATGATTACGTGAAAATCATTTTTACCTCACGCTTTCAATGCTCTCTGCAATTATCAAAATTGTTTTGAGGAAAACAATTGTGTTTAACCAAAAACAAACAAACAAATTCTTAGACTCTTTACATGCTCTACAAAGATATTCAAATTAAATCGAAACAAAATCACCATGTTTTGCTTCAAAACTGTCAGTTTCGCTTTTGTAAAACATGTTTGAAGCTTCTTGCAGATAACATTTTTATACTTCTATCGCTACCAGCTTTTATCAATCAAACAAACTATCTTATACAAGTTTAATTTATCATTACAGTGCAAGTATATGTTGTAAACATGTTCGAGTAATATCAAAATTATGTTTTAAAAGTGAAAATCTACCGGAGCAAGTATGTCCATCCGCGTGTAGGGTGAAGCCATCTCTACATGTGCAATGATATGACCCTTGTTCATTTGTACAAATGTGAGAACATTCTCCATTATTCGTTGATGTCTTGCAAAGACATTTTATTTAAAAAAATCAAGGTACAGGTTTATAAAAAAAAGTCAGTATACACAAATGTATGTTAATTTTTCTTTTTGGCTTCCAAATATATTTGTATTTTAATCTTTTAAATGTATAACGAATCAAAACCATAAAATAAGTCTTTAAGATTATTAACTTTGGCAAGTTGCCCTTGTACCTGTTCAAACATTTTATGAGAATTAAACATAAATTATTTTCGAAAAATGTTTTTATTTCTGAAAATGAAACCTATATATATCATTTTAGCGTTTACAAACATATAATTATAAAAATATTTTATTACATATAGCTTAACACTCTTGAATGTAAAACAGCATTATATCTTATGATATAATTATAAATGACATATTGGTGAAATATTGATGGAATAAAATGCGAATTTTCATTTTACGTATTTTCACTGTAAAAAGTATTTTTCGCTGCGGTGAAATATATTTTCCTTATTTGCACTGGTTGTCATGCCGGACTAATCCCTTTTAATTCAGCCATTTCACAAAATTCAAGGGGAAACCTTTCAAATTGCAATGTCAAAAAAGAGAAAATGTATATAATTTACAGAAAATGTAAGTTTTCTTCTATAAATACAGAATTAATTTTCATCTCGTGGTATGAAAATTATCATATTTTACTTTTCACTCGTGTCTACCTCCACTCATGAAATACTTCTTTTTCATATCACTCGGTGAAAATAGATCAGTATTTGTAAAAAAAATCGACTTAAAATTCTCTAATTTCCCCCTATGCTTTCCTTCCATCAAAGGGACATTTTCAAAAACCCATTGGGGGCGGGCCCAACAGCTATAAGATCCCCCCGAAATTTATAAAAAGTTTTGGGCAAAAATTGGGGGGGGAACCCTCCGAACACCATCAACACCCTCAATAAAAAGTATCATTTTACAGTCAAATTACAACTATCTTTTCAAAGATTCATAGATGTTAATGAAAGTAAGTGTTGTAAGCAATGTTTAAGTTAATCAAATAGGTGATTAAAAGTGTAAGAAAATCCTAACCGAAGCAAGTATGTCCATCCTCGTCTAGGGTGAAGCCATCACTACATGTGCAATGATGAGTCCCTGGGTCATTTGTACAAACGTGAGAGCATCCTCCATTATCATCAGAACATTCGTTGATGTCTTGGAAAGACATTTCATAAAATGTAAGGTTATTCAAGGTACATAATAAATGATATATAAAATGTAACAATCAAGCCATGTAGTTTCATAACTTTGATACTTTTTACTTTGCTCAGTTCCCTTTATATATTTATTTTTTATTTATTAAAATGATCATATGAAAGCTCTTTTTGTCCTGACGCTTTTGCAAATATCCTATATATATGACTGTGTTTTGCAAAACGACAATCAGTTCCTTTTTCTTTTCTTGTTTTCTTACAAGATGCTTCAAAGGCTCTTAAAGGATAATCAAAACGCGCTGTCAGTTTTGCTTTTTAAGACGTTTTCAATGCTACTTGCAAGTAACATTTTAATACTTATAATTATGCCGCTATTGGCATTTAGCAATCAAACTTAAACTACATGTTCACAGTTTAATTGATTTTAATGCAAGTAAATGTTCTATGTTTAAGTTAATCAAATTGGAAAACAAATCTTACCGGAGCAAGTATGTCCATCCGCGTCTAGGATGAAGCCATCTCTACATGTGCAAAGATACGATCCGAGGTCATTTGTACAAACGTGAGAACATCCTCCATTATCACTGGAACATTCGTCGATGTCTTGAAAAGAAATTTCACAAAAAAGAAAGATTTTTCAAGGTACGTGTTTATATAAAAAAGCTAAGACTACACAAATGTATGTTATTGTTTTTCTTTAAAAAAATATTCGTATTTTAGTAAGGAATCAAAACCATAAATTAAGTCTTCGATATTATAAACGTTGGAAAGTTGCCCTTGTACCTGTTCACGCATGGTATGGATATTAAACATAAATTATTTTCGAAAAAATGTACTTATTTCTGAAAATGATCATATGAAAACTTATGTTTATCATTTTAGCGTTAATTAACAAACAAATATTTATGAAAATATTTCATTACTGTAGATATGGCTTTATACCATTGAATGTAATAAAAGTATTGTATGTTATTATATACATGTACTTATAAAAGACATATTGGTGAAATATTGATGAAATAAATGCGTATTTAATTTTCGTATTTTCACTGTATAAAATATTTTTACTGTCGTGGAACATATTATTCGTATTTTCACTGGTGTCTTGCCGGACTACTCTCTTCTAAATTCAGCCAATACAGGAAATTTAAGGTAAAGTCTTTTAAATTGTAATGTCAAAAAAAAAGACAAAAATATATCACAAACAATAAATTCAAGTCTTTTTTTCATTTTTGTCTTGTGGAAAGAAAATATCCTTTTTATCTCACCCATGCATGACCTTCTATCATAGGACAGTTCATAACCATTGAAGCAGGCACAGCTGTAAGATCCTGCTGTATTTATACAAGATTGGGCACAATTCGCTGAACTCTCCGAACACTCATCAACATCTGCAACATAAGAAGTATCATTTTTTTCCAAGTTGAGAGCGGTTATAGAATTCTCATGCAAATATTTGAAAATGTTTAGAATTTTGACAGTCGCCATATTACATTTTCTGTGTTAGTGTGACGTTAAACAAAACACCAGAAAGACAAAAAATACGGTATACAAACTAGTATGAAGAAAATTGAATGCGTACACATATTGTATTTGTTTCAAAGAAAGATATTGTTCTCTATTATACCTTGCAAGTGACTATAACCAGCTTGAAGCTAAAATCGAACAATAGAATGCGGTTCAGAGAAAAAATATTGGGCAGATGAGACAGTCGACGTGGAAGGATGAGGGAGAGAACGATTGAAGAATGAGAGTGGGAGTATACAATACTATATCACTTCGGGTAATCTTCCTTCGGACAATGATGTCCAAAACATTGTGTCTGGTTTATACTCGTACTCGTTTATACTCTGTTCACATCTACTAATGTTTACAGGCAAAAAAACCCATTGGAAATGACTTACCCTTACGTCACATATATATTCAAAAATCGCAATTTCTAACATGTTATTTGCAATACAGATATTTTCTTTTGAGGTCTACATATTAGGGGAATAGCAGGAATGCATTTAATAGAAATAAAACAAAATACCGCTTGATGTAGAAGATTAATTATTTTCTAAAGGACTGTAAAATAAATGAATTCTTTCACATACTAGTTCCCTACCGGGGCTTTCACTTGAAAGACTTGTATATTAACCAACTGTCTATTTGTTTGTCTGTCAGTCAGTCAAACAAACAGACATAGCAAATAGTCTGTTCGGCTGTCCGGAAATTTTAGTTCCGCGATATATAAAGTAATAAAACTCGGTGTGTGAATAGATAGACATATGTTATTTAAGCAGCTATTTTGTTTATATAACCGACTTTAGAATGGAATAAAGGTAGACACTGAAATCAATCCTGATAGCATTCAAATTAGAATTAAGGTTTTTTTGAAAATTGAAATGGTATAGATAACAATATGAAAATGTGCATGTCATTTTATGTTGTGTTTTCCTTAGAACAAAACTATTGTAATTAACGTAACAGTGCATTCTGTAATACTGTATGGTGCATCTTGGTATAATGCCTTATGAGTCATTGTTATTTCATAGTCCATCTGACCATCGTACTTTATTCCATGTACCACTTTCGTTATTTCAAACCTTATGATATTCCAGAACTCACATGATATTATTTCATAATCCATCTTACCTGTTTTACCGTTATTTCATGATTAACCTTGAGTAATTCAAGGACCCACCTAACTGATTTCACATTTTTCACTTGACATTTGGGCATGATGCACATTATTTCAAGATCAATGGTATTGTAATTTACGGGTCCAGCTTGACTTATAATATGACCCACCTTGATCCACCTTTTTAGGTGGATTCTGGAATATCGTAAGGTAGATCATGAAATAACGAAAGGTGGATATGACATAAAGTACGGTGGTCCTAAATTTCTGTTAGATGGTCTTTAAAATAACAATGATTTGAATCCTGATATAACATAATGTGATCCTTACTAAACGATACACAGACCCTGAAATAACTTATTGTGACCCTGGATAAACGTTAAATACACCCTGAAATAACGTAACGTACTTCTGAATAAACGTTAAACTGATCCTGAAATAACATAATGTGATCATGGATAAAGGTTAAACTGACCCTGAAACAACATAATGTGATCATGGATAAACGTTAGACACACCCTGAAATGATATAATGTGATCCTGAATAAATGTAGACAGACACTGAAATAACAATGTGGTTCTGGATAAACGTTAAACTGGCCCTGAAATAACATAATGTGATCTTGAATAAACGTATGAACACACCCTGAATGACGGTTAACTGCATCCTAAAATTACGTCAAGTAGATCCTGGATTAATGTATCGCAGGCGTGACATGGGACGGGACACCTTCAATGTGTAATTCTATGAAAATAATCATGAAATAATGATAATGAGGATCGTGAAATAAATCATGATATATTCAGAAATAATGTAAAGTAGATTCTGGACTAAAGAAAGGATGACTTGCCCTGTGATTTTTTCATACCTTGACAAGAATATCCATTGTACAGTAATCTGAATCCTTGGTAACATGAACACATATACGATCCAACGGTATTAGTACATGTTTGTTCACAGTTATTCGCTCCGGACAAAGTATTCCAGTATGAACATTCATTCAAATCTTTAAAGAACATAATTACATGTATATGCAATATTAATGTGGCTTTATTGGGTGCGCATTATTGTTGACGAAACATAGAATCTGTAATATGTTTGACAAACAAGCTTGATTTTCTTTATTCATTTATTTATTTTGTTGTTATTTTTGAATAAAAAAGTTTTCTTGTATAAAACTAGAGAAAACCATAAACAATTTGAGTCTTTAAAATGACTTATGCCTAGCATAGAAATAGCGTAATTTTACAAACCTACTGCAAATATACATCAAATTATCATGATAAACATTGTAGACATAATATAGGTTTTATTAAAAACCGTTTTCTGCTATTTTTTCATAAACGTATTGTCACTCTTCTATTTGTAGGTCAAGGTTAAGCAACTATTTTAGTTTCTCAGTCGAATTTGGGAAAATTTATTTCGCTCTAAATGAAACTTACCAATGGAACATAAATCACAATTATTATTATTATATTTATGATTTTTTGAAAATGGGGCTTTAAACACAGAATATGATTTACCTGAACAAGAATAGCCGTCGTACGACAGGCTATATCCGCTGCGACAGGAACATCTGTATGAGCCAAAGGTATTCTCATATTCCTGCGAGCAATCTGTCCAACCGGAACATTCGTTCACATCTGAGAAGATTTTTTTTTTTTTTAAAAGACAAGTTTTTGCAGATGAATAAACACACAAATATATATATCAGTAAAAATTGCAAATAAAGCGGTTATATATTATCGTGAATTTATGAAAGTTGAAATCGTGAATTCGTGAAGTTTAGTCGTGAATTCATGAAGTTGAAATGTCCCCACCTGTCTTTCGTAGGTTTGCGCGCATTTTGTTTACCAATATATGGACTCCCGTTTACAACTTTAAATATGTACTTTAAATACAATATAATCAAAATAATGTGCAGTATAGATTTTTCAGTTTATACAATGTACCCATGCAAATAAAAAATACAAGTCAGCACAAGCATGGTATTGAATTACTTTAATGAATAGCTCTCTATCTATCTATGATTGAAATCAGAGCTTGTAAAAGTGCGTGTACATGAATAGGCATTTTTGAAAAACCATTACCATTTTAATATCTGCTTAACAAAGCGTATCTCATGATACAATATCTCAATTTTAGAATGAAAAATCATTTTTGGAGTATCAAACACGCGAGCTACTCTTATCGATAATAACGTTACAAATTTAAATGAATATATATGAAAGTAAATAAACATAAATCAGATTGAAACAAACTGAAACATATCAAGCATTAATCTTCAGCCGACTTGTTACCCTCTCTCTTCACTTTGAATTTCAGAAACGTTTCTTTTTTATTTTGTTATTGTTATTATTTATTACAATTTCTATCAATATCCAATTTTATTTTATGTCGCAACACCGTTTAAGTAGCGCCTGTAGCTTAATGTCGCAACATTGCCGTTTAAGGTCGAAGCCGCCGCTAAATGTCGCAAAATTCTGTGCAGTTATATCAATCGGAATATCTCGGCTATTCCGAAGTTTGACGGAAACGTTATATACGATTTGACGATGCCGGCTAAAGACTTTGCTACATTTAATAACGGTTGAGACATTTAATGGCAAGTATAACATTTAGCAGCGTTGTCTGACATATTTAACGGTGCCACACTTTTTTGTTTTTTTGTTTTGTTGTTGTTGTTGTCGTTGTTTTTGTTGTTGTTTTTGTTGTTGTTGTTGTTGTTGTTGTTGTTGTTTTAAAATGATGCACAGTCTCGATGATGTAACACTATAACGCTACGCAAAAAAGTTCAGTTTTCTATTTTTTTTAATGCGTTTATTTAAGGTCGCCGCCGGAAATCCCATATGGGCGACCATACACTCAAGTCGGGTCATCCTAGAGCGTCCCGCCGAGATTTTTTCGTCGATATTTTTATCCAGGTTTTATTGGTGGAGGAAGACCCCAGGTGCCCCTTCGGACATTATTTCAGGCACGAGCGGGCACCTGGGTAGAACCACCGACCTTCCGTAAGCCAGCTGGATGGCTTCCTCACATGAAAGATTTCGACCCGAGTGAGGATCGAACCTACAGCGGTGAGGGACCTGTGATCTCAAGTCAGTTTTCTATCAATTTTATAGCAATTTAAATACATTTTACTTTTTTTTAAAAATACAACGGTACCGGGAACAATTGTAATTTAATAAGAGAAATATCAACTTCATAATATTGAAATAGACTATGTAGTGGCTGATTACTATCATGCCACTTTATCTTGTTGACGTTTGCTAATGTGCCAATAAAGTATTTTCAGAACTTGTCGTTTTATATTGCTAAAGCGCATGTATTCGACGTTTAGGCTATACAAATAAAAATGGTCATTCTCGCAACGTCAGAACAAATGTTTCCATTTTCAATAATATCATGGTTCCTCTAAAGTTCACTTTTACTGTTCAATTCGGTTCAAGGCGTTACATAATAGAATGGAGCAAACTCTGGACACAAAGTTTGATGAGTACAGCCTTAATGAATTTTAAAGACCCTGTATATTGTAATTATACAGAAGTTTTATAAATGTATATATTTTTTCTCCAAAAACAAGTTCCAAACATTCAAGAATATGTTGAATATATACGGCAAATGTTTATATACATTATGATTAAAAGTTAAAATTAATGCATTCAGTTTACATTGAAAAAAAACTTGCTTAGACTTTTTCGAAAATTTCTAATTACCTCTTAATGTTAAATTCGGTAACATCTTTACAAATAATGCTTTTTGAAACTTTGAGCATCAAATTTATGATATAAAACCATAAATAAATGCGTAACAGGATCTTTTTGATTAGCGTTGATCTATATGAAACAGGCGCAAGTTTATGGCTTTCAAAAATAACCCAATCAATCTCACACATGTCTAAGTGTAAGGCGTTGTTTGTATATTTGTTTTTCTGTCTGTCTGTCCGTCCGTTTATTCTAACTTTAATATACTAACCTTCAGAACAATATGTCCCTGTATATCCATCACAACATCTGTAGCAAATATCTGGACAACTTTTATACGCTATTCTAGAAGTAGAAAAATATGTCAGGTGTAGCATGTCTGATTCAGGTGTGGCCTTGACACCTTCAATGTGTAATTCTTTGAATATAATCATATACCAGGTGTAGTATGTGACTGGACACCATTTTTATAAAAGTCTATAGGCCTAAACATGGTTTAATATCAGATGTGACCTTTCGTATGAAAGTCTAGATGTGACGTTTTGTATGAAAGTTTCAAAACATGGTTTTATATCAGTGTGACCTTTCGTATGAATGTCTTAAACCTGATTTTATCTCAGATGTGACTTTTTATATGAAAGTCTATAAACATAGTTTTATATCAGCTGTGACCTTTCGTATTAAAGTCTATAAACATAGTTTTATATCAGATGTGACCTTTCGTATTAAAGTCTATAAACATAGTTTTATATCAGATGTGACCTTTCGTATTAGAGTCTATAAACATAGTTTTATATCAGATTTGACCTTTCGTATTAGAGTCTATAAATTTTATATAGTTTTATATCAGATGTGACCTTTCGTATTAAAGTCTATAATCATAGTTTTATATCAGATTTGACCTTTCGTATTAGAGTCTATAAATTTTATATAGTTTTATATCAGATGTGACCTTTCGTTTTAAAGTCTATAAACATAGTTTTATATCATATGTGACCTTTCGTATTAAAGTCTATTAACAGTTTTATATCGTATGAAAGTCCTAAACATGGTTTCATCTTTGTATGAAAGTCTATAACATGTTTTTTGTACATATATTTTCTTTAAACATAGTAATGTATAGCAGCTGTGACATTGCTCGACTATGCACGCTCCATTTTATTATATTATATCATATTATACAATACAATACAATCCAGCACTGCACTGCACTGTACTACACTGCACTGCACTGCACTGCACTACACTACACTACACTACACAATCCGCTACACTTAACTACACAACACTACACTAAACTAAACAACACAACACTATACAGCACAACACTAAATTAACATCACACAACACTAAACTACACTACACAACACTACATAACACAACACAACACTACACTATACTATACTTTACTATACTTTACTATACTTTACTATGCTACATGTAAAATAGTAAATACCTGTTGTTAAAGAATGTTTTATCCTTTTTTATTTTACGCTTTATTAAATTTGTATTTGTCACCGGAAATCCACTTGAAACACATGGAGCAGTCCTCATTGAGGAGGTGAATAACTGCATGGGTTCAAAACAGTGCAAAGATGTGAAACGTGAACAAACGATTTTAAAATCTCGGAAGAAGAATATCAGAAGTTTTGATTTGATACTTGATTGCTCCTAACATCAAATTTGCATAAAACGCTGGACCCTGTTTTATGCGACCGGATAGTCCACTAGTCGACAGAAACTTCATTGACAAATATGTTTTACAAAACCATCACGAGGAATCTTAATTACGAGCAATTGTGAAAATCCCGTTAACCAATGAAAAAGAAAAGCGTTTTTGGCATCTAATAAAAATCTTATAATTGTAGAGTAAGTGAATAGTCACTCATAACAATAATTATACGACATTGTTTCTCGTTTTGTAACATGAAATGCCGTGTATTTATATACTGAAATAAATTATAGATATTATTTACAGCGTTAAAAAGAAAGTAAAGATGACAGTTGTTTGATAAACAGGATACAAAATATAATAATGGACCTACTTATATTCCGTGCAAGAAAACAATAACCAGCAACTTGTTTCTGCTGCAACAGTAGTTTGGCAAGCTTTCGAACACTGATAACTTTCAGTACAATATCCTGTCACTGTAACTCTGAAAATGCACAAATATTAGCCGCATGATATCCCATTTCATAAATATGCAATAACATTTAGCACCGTCTGGTTAGCTCAATAGATAGACCGTTGGACGGTGAGTCAAATGATCTCGAGTCTCACTTTCATTGTGTTTGATCATGAAATCCCTTCGACGGTAATTCGCACTGCGCGTTGCTCTGGCGTGTGCAGAAGCTACCAGTGAAGGTATTGGTGAACTGCTTGTCAGCCTGCCCAGGAACGATGCGAGGGCAGAACTGTGCTCAGGTAAATTCAAAGTTGATCCGGAGTGAAAACTACCAACACTAACACCACCACAGCTAACAGTAAGTCATATTAAAAAAAACAGTTCGTAAATCCATGATATCATATTGAATCCCGTGTAATTTCAAATACAAAAAAGGACTTTAGAAGAAAAAATATTCAGCACAGCCTTTTAAAAAAATCAAATAAATATATATTCGCGAATAAGATTTGTAATGCAATATAAAATATTTTTACCCAGTTAGATGCAGTATAAGCAGAAACACTCGGCAGGTGTTAATATTCTCTATCGATATCATGTTTAGAACAAACTTGATTCCTTAAGAGTGATTTCAAAAATCTGACAACATAATTTTTAAACGCTGATCTGTAAAGGGAGGCGTAAAATATATATTGTTAACCAATAGCGCATGTAATAAGCGTAGCTATGGGCTCATCTAAAAGTTACGGGGCTGTTTATATACGTGAGTTCTTTCTTTTAAAAACTAATTTTACGTTGCAGTGTTATACAACCTTGCTCAGCCGAAATTATTAGATTTTAAATCTTGATCGGTCCTAATATTCTCTAATGTTCAAACTAATTAAATAAAGCAAAGTCACCTTATTTCGTCGATAGTTCTAAACTATCAAGGTCATTGACAATGTAATACGTGCTCTTGTTTACGGGCTAATTAAAACCCCAAAATGCTTTATTTCCTATTTAAAAAAGGCTTTTTATTTTTGGTATCATGTTTCAATTTCCAAAAAAAAATTAATACTGCTAAAGATGAACTATCTTTTCTTTTTTTTCTCATAGCAATTGGTGTAATGATCTCTTGTCAAAATACCGCTTTGTTTACACTTTTTTACCTTTTCGGCATTTGATTTCAGCGCTACTTTCTTCAGTTGTTTCACTTCTAATATGCTCTAAATCAATTATTAAATCATTATTAAAACACATATTTTACCTATTTGAAGAATTAAAAAGAATATTGATTTCTGAGGCAGTGCCTTTAAAAAAAGGTGAAAGAAAACAAATTGCTAGTTTTAGAACCATTTGAACAACCCCTTTTTTCGGAAAACCTGAAATCAGTTCGAACACATCGACGATTATTCAAAACAGTTTTATCACTTGACTAGTAGCGATCAGGTATTGATTACTTTGCTCTATTTGACAAATTTCAGAAAATGTTAAGGTTAACCTGACACAAAGTTTAACCCAAATTTATGACAAAAATAATTTGCCATTAACAGATCTTATATATATATATTTGTTGTTGTTGTAGTTTTTTTTTCTTGAAGTTCTTTTCCTTTGTTTTTGTGCGTGTGCGTGTGAGCTAGTGCGCGCGCGTGTGTCAATTTATTTTGCTGAAACAAAAAGAAACTTAAATATTTCAGCTTTTTTCAAACTAAGTTGACAAACTATAAAAGCTATAACATTTGACATTCGATGGTGTATTTTTTTAAGTTCGATTGAGAAAATAAATTGATATGTTCTTTCACGGAATGGTTTTCGTATCCAATCATGTGTATGTATGTGTATACATATTTTATGTTCATGTGTTTACTTTTTTGGAGTAATCTAAGATAATAAAGTTTATTGAGACTTGATTGTAAAGGGTATTTTTTCAGATATATATATATATACATGTATTTGTAAAAAATGTTTGAAAACCGGCTTTATGGTTGAAACAGATCATGATGTCCCATTCGTAAATATTTAACTTTTTTTAATAAAGTGTTTACACTAGCGTATCACGTTGGGGGCAGAGTTTGTGCTACACATAGAACGACTGAGCTGCCCTGTAACACCGCAAAACGTCCGTAGCCCAAAACGTACGCGTGTGGACGTTTTGCGGCGCATATCGTACACTTGTAGACGTTTTGCGGTGCATATCGTACTTGGTACGTTTTGCGGCGAGAGTGTGCCTTTGCGCCGCATATCGTCCATTTTTTTCTGTATTAAAATATATTCATTATAAACGTTACTTTTATTGGTTCTGTCACTTTCATATTGTTTCAGGTAAAGATATGAAGAAATAAACATTAAAGTGCCATATTTTTGTGATCCTATATAATTCAGACTTTTTTTTTATTTAAAAAAAAAAGAAATATGCTTTAACCGAGGATGTTTTTCGTATAGATTTTTTTATGAAATGAAACCAAGCAGCAGCAGCAGCAGAGATATAACAACGATGATATTGAAATAAATGTAATCTTTTAGACATACAGAAAAGGACGGCTATACGGACGGACGAACCGGAGATTTGACTAAGTGAATGACAAAAATATTAAAATTAAGCTTTGCTTCGGACAAAAGCTTTTCATATAATTGCATCAAGAAGTGGGAATGATTTTTTGTGTTCTTGTTGACTATGGAGGTTTGGTTCTATCGTTCATTTTTACGGGGGATGAATGAAGGCTTTGACAGCGTAGTCATATTTGAGCGAGAGAGCTATATTGTCATGGACACGGGACCTTTAAGTCGCCTAGTCATAATTGAGCAAGAGAGCTTTTGTCGCGGGGGGCGGAGGTGGGGATGAGGTTGTTTTTAGCCGCCTAGTCATATTTGAGAGAGAGAGAGAGAGAGAGAGCTTTTGTCGAGGGAGGGAGATATTGTTGTGATGGGGGAGGGGCTTTAGCCGCCTAGTCATATTTGAGCAAGAGTGCAAATCGTTTTGTTTGAATGCCATAATGTAATTTTATAATTGAACAATGTAATTTTATATTTGAACAAAGCAAAAGGTCATGGTGGCTTTATATCGCCCACCTGCCTATAAAGGCTCCACATGACAAGGGTAGATAACATTAAATTTTACAAATTAAAAGCAAGTACATTTCATGTACTTGGTCAGAATCTGGGTAACTGATATCAGTACTCAATTCTACGTCTGAAATGGTCATCAATATCCAAAATTCTGTAAATGACAAAGATGTGGTAATTTAAGCAAAATTCAATAGTGACCTTGAGGTCAAGGTCATTTCAAGGTCAATATTATAGTTGAACTATTCAAGATGTCCGTCCGGTCATAAATGTATGAATGACATCTGATCATTGATAACAAAGAAATGGCAGTTTTATCACAACTAAATAATTTGACTTTAAAATATGTCTTTATTTTTATTATTCAAAGGCAAATAACTCTTGACATATTCAGTAGTTTTAGCTCATAAATAAACTTGATCGAGACTTATTGTTATACATATTCTGTATAAAAAAAATTAAGAATGGAGAAGAAACGAAAGCACTAACAAGGTGAAATAAAGTGCGTTTTTTGTTATTGTTTTTTTTGTTAGATTTAGCCTATACTCTAACTTTGATGAGATTTTTATGGTCATAGATATTCTGTTGAAAATTGTCAAGATTGAAGAAGAAATAAAAGCGTTGGAGTGGTAACAATGTGAAATATAACAGACATTGTAATTCAAGGGCAGATCACTCTGGACATATTGCTTAGGGTATGTGGATGCTAGAGTTGTTACAAGCTAAATTTGGACGGACAGACAGACAGGCGCATACTCAGGTGAACTAAAATTAACACTCAATAACACCTGATAATAACTGGTAAAAATTAACGAAAATTATATAAACTTTAAAATATGGACGTTATGAGGCAGGACCATGCCTTTTTGCCGCAAAATGTACGTCAGAAAAATGTGGACGATATGCGCCGCAAAACGTTCATATACGTACGTTTTGCGGTACGGACGTTTTGCGGTATTACAATGCCCTCTATGTCATAACAAGAAACGGTTTCCGAAAAATCAAATGAAAAATAAAAATCTTTCTGCAGAGCTAATTTAACCTAAATCGATACTTTGACTGTCAATAGAAATGCTTTAAATTGTTTTCGGAAAACTTTTCACAGTGTTGAAAAAGTATATTGATCAACTGTTCTGTAAAGCGTGTGTTGCTTGAATTTCAGAGATGATTTTTTTTCTTAAATCGTTAAAGTTATTAGTTTATCTGATGTAAAATGAAAACTTCCACCAGTGTCTCGATAAATAAATTAAGTTGCTTTGTCACTGACACCGACACTGTCATATGACAAATTTCCAGCAATATATATCGTTGTCATTATTGCTTACAGACGGCACGCGACACATCGTCTCAATATGGCGATCATTTCTGTGAAATAGTTGTAAAATCCGACTTCAAATAACGAAGTTATGGGCCGGACATGATTTTGCTGCAAGGTCATGCTGTGACCTTGACCTTCAAAGAAGCGACCCAAATGGTGCACGCGACACGTCGTCTCAATATGGTGATCATTTCTGTGAAATAGTTGTAAAATCCGACTTCAAATAACGAAGTTATGGGCCGGACACGAATTCTGGACGGACGGACTGACAGATTGACGGACAACCCGGCGACTATATTGCTCCCCGATTTTTTTCGGGGAGCTCAACAAGTTATTTTCAACACATCAAGTACTTTTTGAAATTTATTTCAAAACTAATATTATCATTTGTTGAATGTTAGTATGAACAACATAACTTATTTCGACTTCTCTTGCAGAGCAGTATAACAGTTAAATTAATAACTACACGATATTTCATGTTTTATCTTTAAAAACAGGTTTTAAATCTAAGGAGTCAATTTGAATATTTCAATCCACTTATACCAACTTATCTGCATTTCTTCTACAACAGTACATACAACATGGAATATCTTCTAAAACTTCCACATATAAATACCTATAACTTTTGAAAATACGCAGACATATCTCTTATTCTGTATTACTCAGCCACTAGTAATACATTCTATCATGGTCTTAAGTCTTAACTTCACTTTGAACACTCCTTCTTTTAAGATAAGTATGTTTTTGAAGTATTTTACTCTCCTTTTTCTTCTTTTTTTAAATAATTTACTGACGGGAGGCAAACCACTTTAAATTTTGCATTACTCACAAGAAAAGGTATTTTCTATTTTCCTTGCTAATTATGAGTACTTTGAAAGGCGGCGTTCAATGAACGCATGTCTTTGAAGTCTAATGTCTTCCTTTTACACTTCAATGTTGATTCTTATGTTTTAGTATTATGTGACAATGCCTGGGTAGAATCTAATCTTATCACCCTTTGGCAACTTACACCATAAATGTTTGGGAAAGTCATAAATTACATAAAATACTAGCAAAATTAACGGCTCTGTAACACCGCAAAACGTCCGTACCGCAAAACGTACGCGTGTGGACGTTTTGCGTCGCATATCGTACACATGTGGACGTTTTGCGGTGCATATCGTACTTGGTACGTTTTGCGGCGAGTGTGCCTTTGCGTCGCATATCGTCCATATTTTCTGTATTAGAATACATGTATATTCATTATAAACGTTACTTTTATTGGTTCTGTCACTCTCATATTGTTTCAGGTAAGAATATGACGAAATAAGC